CTGCATCTCCCTACCTGACTCAGTTTAACTGTCAAGGATTTCATGGATTGATGCCATGTTTTTGTTTGGCCACCACTGGCTCTTTTCCAACCTGAACCTATATCAGCTAGCAATGCCCGTCGGGGGAGGCGGTGGTTAGGCATGCGCACCACGTGACCTAGCCATCTTAGTCTATGTAACTTTATAGCCTCGTCGATTGATTTTCCCTCTTTGCCCAACACTCTACGCCTAACGTCAACATTACTTACCTTGTGAAACCACCTAACGTGAGACAGAGATCGCAGACATCTATGATCGAAAGCAGTCAACCTTTTCATGTCTTCAACGCGTATTGGCCATGTTTCAGAGCCATAGAGAAGGACGGAGCGAACTGATGAGCAGTACACACGTCCCTTGGTTGATAACCGGATGTCACGCCTACGCCAGAGATGGTGTAAGTCAGCGAAAGCAGCTCGAGCTTTTCGGATCCGTGCTGAGATTTCATCGCCAATCAGTCCGTTGGTGCTAATACAACTTCCCAAGTAGGTGAAGTGGTCAACATGTTCTATCACTTCACTCCCTATCACTAAGTTAGGGTTGACGTGTCCAGTCCTGTAGCAGCATCTTACATTTTGCAGGGGCGAATCGCATGCCAAACATACGAAGATTGCTGCTCAAGGTGTTCAGAAGACTCTGCATTTTGTCAGCATCCTCCCCTAACAGGACTATGTCATCTGCATATTCTAAGTCCATAAGATTATTCCCTGGTAACAAGTCGATTCCTAAGTCACTACGTTCAGTTAAGGATACTTCCATTAGCATATCTATGATGAAGTTAAACAGAAATGGGGAAAGTGGACATCCCTGTCGGACACCACTGGTTGTTACCAATTCAGATGACAATTCCCCATAAGCCCTTACACGACTACGTGAGTTTGAATAGAGTGCCTTGATTAGTGCAATGTACTTTCTTGGCACTCCCTTCACAGTCAGACATTGCCATAGTACCTTTCGATCCACGGAGTCGAAGGCCGCCTTCAAGTCAAGAAATATGACAATTGTTGGACGCCGAAAAGTGTGTCTATGTTCTAGAATCTGTCGAAGAGTGAAGATATGATCTATGCACCCTCTACCTGGTCTAAAGCCTGCTTGATTTTCCCTTGTCTGTTCCTCCCGAGTTCTGCTTAGTCTATGCATGATTACTGAGCCTAGGATTTTAGAGACTATGTTCGTTAGGCTGATCCCCCTATGATTATCACACGAGGACTTGTTTCCCTTCTTGAATATCGGTATAATAAGTGACTTACCCCAGTCTGATGGACTGTCTCTGATTCCCAGACTTTGCCTAGTACCTCAGTTAATCTACAAACTAGTATGTCACCCCCATATTTAAACACCTCCGGAATAATTCCGTCGGGTCCTGCCGCTTTGCCTCGTTTCAAATTACTGATAGCTTTTGTAACCTCACCTACAGACGGCGGACCAGTGTCTATATCCCATTCGGGTACGTGGTGGATGGCGGGGAGGTTCAGTGTGGCTGTAGGCAAGTTAAATTGTTCCTCAAAGTGTTCTTTCCAGCGTTCAAGGCGTCTATCCTGAGAGCTAATTAAGGAGCCATTTTTCTCAGAAATAGTCTCACTTATGAATTGCCTTCTCCCGCCCGATTCTGTGATGAGTCTAAAGAGTTGCCTAGTGTTGCCTATCGCCAATGCTTTTTCCATCTCTTTCGCCTTTGTCACCCACCACTGTTCACGGTCCTTGCGGAGACTTTTAGTAAGTTTCCTTTTGTGCAGCTTTCGCTCCTCATTGAATTCGGAGCTCGCCGGAATAAGTCTTCTAGCATCTATCAGTTCGGATGAGGCAGTCGAAATCCAGTGGTTTTTACTCACCTTTGGATTTGCCTTATTCACAGCTTTTACAGCTGTATCTATAGCTGACTGAATATTCTTCCAGGCTTCTCCAGGGTGAGCACAGCTGTCGATTCAGATATGCGTTTAGCTAGTTCTTCCTCAAATAGGGATTTAGTTTCCTGATCGAGCTGGGGGCGTAATGGTTTTACCGCCAGCTGTTTCCTACGTCCGTTCAGTCGTAAGCACACACGAGCCCGGACCAGTGCGTGATCGGTATCTACACACGTGTTCCAGAAGGAGCGACAATCTCCTACCGACCCACGCCAACGATAGCTTATTGCTATGTGGTCTATTTGTGTCCAGCGTTGGTTTGATGATGGGGGTCGCCAGGTTAAACAGTGTCTCTCCTTGTGTTTAAAGTTAGTGCTTACAAGAAACAAATGATTATCTGAACAGAACTGTAGGAGACGGTCACCGTTGTCGGTTCGCTGGCACGGAACTCCATAGGTGCCACCGACATCCTTCTCAGATTGACACAATTTCCCTACTTGAGCGTTAAAGTCACCAGCTAGAACGACTATATCTGAGCGTTTAGCCTTTCTCACCAAACTAGACAGCTTTTGGTAGAACTCATCCTTCGTTTCATCCGAACTGCAGTCAGTGGGGGCGTAGGCGGAGATTACGAAAAGGCATCGGCGAGTAGTGCAGTCCTTTCTCCTTCTTACTGATCCGTTCAGACGGACAGCACACATTCGGCTATCTACTGGGATCCAGTCAAGCAATGTCTTTTCTGCCCTAGTACTCAGAGCTATCCCTACGCCAGCTAATCCTCGTGAACTAGCTGTGGCATCTCCTGACACCCTCAAGGTGAATTTTGAAGATTCATCCTGTTGGCCAGGTGGGGTTAGGTGAATAACCACACTTGGGTCTTGTATGCGTGTTTCTGAAACACAACATACATCAATGGCTCGAATGCCAGGGTCTTAGCTAGTGATGCTTGTTGTCCTATTTGGCAAAGTGTCCTAACATTAAATGCTCCTATATGAAATTGGTGGCGTGGCTTTAGGAGACTATCCGTGGTGGTTTTTTGGCTTTCGTCGTTTTTAGTGGACACAGAGTGAAGAGGGAGTGAGGAGCCATCAAGTAGAGGAGTTGCATCAGTGGAGGAAGGCAAGGTAATAGAGATGAAGATGAAGACAAAGATAAGTGAGGATTAGAGAGGTTTTGTGTGCGTTTTGGATTGTGAGGGCGATTGTTACTTCCCGGCTGCCCACACCGTGGAAGTTGGTTGCGTGACCGCAGAGCCCAGGGGACAACTGCTTGTGGCCGGTCACACGCGGCCTGTTTTTGTTCGTTCTTTGTTGTTTTGTGTGCCTCAGTAGCATACTTATCACTCCCGCCCTGTGACACGGCAGCAGGAAGCGCGGTCGTTGTTAATCCGGGCCACGGCCGATCCGGCATGAAATTTTGTGAATTTGTTTGGATCATGGTATTGGATGAGGTAGCTGCTTTTTGTTTAACCGCTATCCAAACAACCTGCCTGGCATGGTAGAACCTCAAGAGACATAAGTCTCAGCCAGTATAGCTTGATTAGGTCATTGCGGTGTTCAAGCCCGACCACCACGTCAAGGTAGCAGCTTTCGGTCGGTCATCTACCGTATACCAACTAATCATAAATTTACCTCAAGAGTTCTGCTATTATACATTACTGAGGCTGTTGAGATCTACATTAAGAAAACTAACTTATGTATACAAAAGAAATTGGTTCAGTCACCAGATTTTTCCTCCTTATCCAGCAAAATACAAAAATTAAATTGCCTCATCATTTTAGGATGTCTATGTGTAACAATGACTTAAGACTTAACCCTAAGTGACTTCAGCGACTCAGGGATTGACTTGCTACCAGGGAATAATCCCGTTGACTTAGAATATGCAGATGATATAGTCCGTCTAGATGAAGACGCTGACAAAATCTAGCAGTCTTCTGAACACCTTGAACTGCAATCTACGAATGTTTGGCATGCGATTCGCTCCCGCCAAATGCAAGATGATGTTATAGGACTGGAAATAGGGAAGTGCAATAGGGAGTGAAGTGGCAGAGCACGTCGACCGCTTCACTTAGTCAGGAAGTTGCATCAGCACCAACGGATTGATCTCTGACGAAATCTCAGCACGGATACACAGGGCTAGTTTCGCATATGCCAGTATAAGCCATCTGTGGAGTAGGCGTGATATCCGGCTATCGACCAAAAGGTGGGTGCACTGCTCAGCTGTCCACTCCGTCCTCCTTTTTGGCCATTGAGAGGGGAAGACATGCTAAAGTTAGCTGTCTTTGATCATAGGTACCTGCGCTCTAACTCCCGTGTGAAGTGGTATAACAAGGTCAGCAATATTGAGGGTGGGATTCGGTTGAGTGCTAGATAAACAGGGAAAGTCAATCAACGAGGCTGTGAAGTTACACCGATTGAGATGGTTAGGACATGTGTTACGTATGCCTAGTCATCGCCTTCCTCGACGGGCAATGTTAGCTGCATAGGGTCGGGCTGGAAAAGAGCTAGCGGAGGTCAAACTAAAACATGGCCTCATCAGTCAATGAAATAAACAACAGTTCGTCTAAGCCAGGTAGGAAGATTTATACTTTCTGGTTGGGGTCCTCGAAACGGTAAACACCAATGGCTGGAGACAATCGGTGATATGTCTCAAAATTGTTCTCAATAGCTGGTGCAGATGCATTTACACCTTGTGACCTATAATTTCCAATTAAACTATATTGTTCTTCGTTATTACTATTACTTCTGTCTCATATCCCTGTCTACTGTCTCTATTTTGCATTTCTTGTACTTTCTTCTCTTGCTTTGTGTGCTACATGGAGAGTGGCTACTTGAACTGCTGCACATCGGTGCAAAGTTCTATGTCGAAAACAGACAGACAAAATGACTTAGGATAAAACGGTAACATAAATGAAACTTTTTCACCGTAGGTACAGTTAATACTAACATTCTTCAAAATTCCAAGTCGCCTATTATTATTACTAAAATAATTCTTAAGTATTCAGAATGATTAACAGTTCACAAACAAAGCGATTAAAAAGAAAACTTCTTTAAGAACAAGACATGAATAGGGAACTTCAACAGATAATAATAAATCTAATTATGAAATAAGAATACATACCTAATCTTTCCATGAGACGTGAAAAACTTTCTTTTAAATTATGAGCACTTCCATGGAAACGATTAGCATTCACACTACGTCGACCATCTGTAGGCTGAAGTGTTCGAAATTTATCTTTATCAGTTTGTACTGGTGGAATTTTAGCATATGATGTAGACGGTATAGGATAATCTGTAGCCGCTGAGAAATCCACCGAATTAGCAGAAGGTTGAGAGAAGGAAATCTTTTTCTCCGTTGAATTTGAATCCGTAGGTTGTGATGATTCAAAATTATCCTGATGAAGTATATTTAAAGTAGTCTTAGTTAGAAGTTAGTTAGTTAGAAGAATACTCATAATGCATTTGACTTTAGACTTTTAGCAAAAAAATAAGCACAAATCATGAGAAAAAAAACAGAATATATGACACTCAAAAGCTATGCGGAGATATCTTTGCAAGCAGTTTTATTAGCCTCACAGCCTCACACACACATAATCTCAATATCGAAATCATCTGCTTCATGTAGTCACAGCTAATCAGTTTGAAACAAACAAATGTTTGATCAACTCAGCTTTATTGTCAGTATTTAGTGTTCATTAAGCATGGATTTAAATGAAAACACCCTGTACACACTGGCTAGTAATTTTTGCCAGCTAATAAAACACACCGAGTATGTCTATATACGTATGATACAGATATCGGTTGAAAAATCTTCCTCAAGACTTTTAAACTGTTACTAGATGGCTGGAGGCAGTCGACATGACATTAGCTACTACCTAGGGTCCTAACTCGAAGACTTGTAAGCGAAAACCAACAAACTGGCTGAAGAGGCAGAGAAAACAGGACTCCAGGTGAACTCAGAGAAGACCGAGGTGATGAAGATAACCAACGGACCGCAACAACTACAACCAACACTAATCACCATCAACGGGAGAGATTTAACAGAGGTTGTCTCCTTCACTTATTTGGGAAGCATAGTTTCAACTACAGGTGGAACGGACGAAGATGTCAAAGCCAATCAAAATCGGAAAGGCAAGATACGCTTTCATCAATCGGAAGCCAGTTTGGAAATCTTCTGCACTCAGTCGGCATAAGGGAACATGATTCGGATTTTCAACACCAATGTGAAGTCGATCCTTCTTTACGGGTCAGAAACTTGCACTGCGTGTCACGTTAAGGATTTCTAACAGGTTGCACACTTTTATCAGTAGCTGCCTTCGCTGGCTACATACTGGAGATCAAATGACAGACCAGAGAGAATAAGTAACAAGAAACTCTGGCTAGGAACAATCCAACTAAGAGCTGAGAGATCAACAAATGTGTAGGAGAAAATGGAGACGGATCGGGCATACGCCACTGAGGAGGCCGTCGAATGATGATGAGTGGGTCGTCAGTGTGAGGAAGACATGGAGGAGATCACGTGAGGAAGAGATGACAGAGTTTGGTCAACCGTGGACCTAGCTGAAGAGGACGGCAGAAAACAGAGCAAAGTGGAGACGTGTTGTTAAAGCCCTATGTTCCACTTAGAACACAAGGGAATAATAACAACAGAGTCCAATGAAAAAAAAACTTTTTAATGTGTATTTCAGACTATTAGAATCACAAAGCAAATACACAGTGATGACTGTGTATCGAAATGACTGAACAATAGCCAGTTCCCATGAAGATGGAAATAATATAGACCCGTTAAACCATTAACTTACGATCTTAAAAATACATTACATTGTGAAATGATGAGATAAACCTTACCTACTACCACGCTGACAATTTAGTAGGCCTCAGATACAGCCTGCATTCAATAAAACCACCGAAATTGAAGTCCAAGTATCAAACGTGTAACTAATGAATGCATCGTTCAAAGGTGGATTAAAAAAGCGTATTATACAAAAGCCACTGCAGCAAGTACACTACTATCATTTACTACTCCTGTCAGTCCGAGTGGAACATATAACTCTTCAATGGCAAACTATCGTTGAAATCAGTTCTCTACCATCAGTTTCAGTCGACCCACTACTGTCCACAAGCTTTTATTTTCCACGCAAAAAATGATCTCCACGTCATAGTCAACATTATCGAAAGCCTCTCCAGATTCGATCAAGATGAGACAAAGAGTTAACTGCTATTCTAGACTCTGTTCGAAAATGGTGTGCACTGTTCCACAAAGGTCAGAACATGACTTGTTTTGGAGGGGGGAGTATGACATCTCCAACAGCTCCTGCACTCTCCATGAACAGGCCACTTGACAATTTGCTTCGGGGAAATAGGAGGACGAAAGTGCGCCAGTTCTTGCATAAGCTGAAGTCACCTTTCTTTGAAAGGTTTAGCAAAGTAGCTCTACTTTAAATAAGCAAACGACTTTCTGCTTTCTGAAGTAGCAGTGTGAGTATGTCCGCAGAGGTCTACGGGTTCGTTATCTAGAGCTTCTAGAGGGATTCCATCTAGTCCTGCTGCTTTACCAGCTTTTGATAACTTTATGGTCTTCAAGATTTCTCCTCTTTTCGAGGAGCTGGTGTTCACTGGTAGCTTTGTGACTACTAGTGATATTTCCGAACGAGTTATAGGTGGTTGTCGGCGATTTCGGACTGATTCGAAGTGATCGGTCCAGTGTTTCCTCTATTTCACATCTGTGATTACTGAATTTTCCTCGCTATCTTTCACTGGCTTAATCTGTGATAATTTATCCTCTGATAACGACCTGGTTATTTGATATAAGGATGCAATCACTTACTGATCCATAATACACGTCAGTACTTCTATTTTGGGTATTAAACTAAGAGAGGTGCTGTTAGAAAGTATATAAGCTAGTTTATATCCTTACTTATATACACACCTTGCGTCGGTGACGCAGAGGTAGAATGCTCGCCAGCCAACCAGGTGGTCCGTAGTTTGATCCTCTGCCAACGCACTCCCAAACCTCACTTAGCTAGTGATAAGCCAGGAAAAGAGGGAAGGTTGGGCGTGAGACTAGCAATCCCATCCTGTAACAATAAGCCAATGATACCGAAACGTCAAGCTCTAGCTTGAAGCTCGCTCTATGTTCCACTGGGAATGTAAGGGAATAAAATGATAAAAATAATCATGGATAAATACCCTAGTCAAATCGCTTCCAGAAGTCAAACCGAAAATAAAGAGAAGAGAAATGTAGTAAGGTAAAACATCCCCTTTGAAGTGACATAGGGAACAAAACAATGAAAATACTTAATTATCCCCATATTAAATAATATGAGGATACTAAGCGGCATCATCCTGGAGAGAATCAAACAAGCCCTGGATGATAAACTTTAACCGGAACAGGCTGGATTCAGGAGAAAAAAGTCATGTATTGATCAAATCGCCACACTACGGATCATCACTGAACAAAGCTTGGAATGGCAGTCACCTCTTTGTCTTAACTTCATCGACTTTGAAAAGGCCTTCGACAGCGTCGATCAAGAGGTCATTTGGAAACTACTTCGCTACTACGGTTTGCCGCCGACAATTATACACCTCATCCAACAGTTGTACGACAATGTTGCATGCCAAGTAATCCACAACGAGAAACTTACGGAACCCTTCGAAGTGAAGACGGGAGTAATACAAGGCTGCCTACTCTCGCCAATGATCTTCCTGATTGCAGTAGATTGGATAATGCGACAAACAGTTAGCGGGCAATGAGGAAACAGGCATAAAATGGACTCACACAAAAAACTTGGAGGATCTGGACTTCGCCGGTGATTATATATATCTGATTTCCCACAAACTGAAAGATATGCAAGTGAAAAGCAACAAGCTGGTAGAAGAAGCATCCAGAGAAGATAGGACTTCAGGTGAACATAGATAAAGCAGAGGTGACGATGAAGACTCCTGGCCAACACCAGCAATAACAACAACAACAGACAACAATCAGCCAGCGTAAATGAGAGAAATCTGAAAGAAGCAACCCCCTTTACCTACCCACCTACCTGGGAAGCATCGATTCAACTACAGGCAGACGGGACTGATGAGGATATCAAAGCCAGAATCGGAAAAGCAAGACAAGCTTTCATTACTCTCAAGTCTGTGTGGAGGTCAACAGCACTCAGCATGAAATGTAAGGTCCCGATTTTCAACTCCAATGTGGAGTCAGTGCTACTCACTATACGGATCAGAGACTTGGCGCGTCATGAAGAGTACCTCAAACAAACTACAGACCTTTATCAACAGCAATCGTTGCTTAATACTCAAAATCAGATGGCCAGAAAGGATCAGCAACAGGGAGGGATCTCTGGGAGCAAACCAACCCAGTGGGGACCGATTGGGCAACAAATAAGCAGGGAGATATAGAGGTGGATTGACCATACTCTGAGAAAACAAACCATCAAGTGACATCACTAGACAAGCCCTCGAGTGGAACCCGAAAGGGGAGGGGCGAGTTAGTCGTCAGTGCAAGGGTGACTTGGAGGAGGTCATGTGAAGAGGAGATGAGTGCATGTGGGCAAACTTGGAGCCAGGTGAAAATGTCAGCAGAGAACCGAACGCAATGGAGACGCGCGGCTGGAGCCTCATGTTCCTCTAGGAATTAAAGGAGATAAGAAGAAGAATATTATTTTGTTCACCTACGTCTGGTGAAAAGAACAACACTATTACTAAAACTTCAAAGATTGAAGCCTTATGCTCCGCTAGGAGGGCAGAGGAATCAAAAAAATGAGAATATTAACGACGATACAATAATAACCTTTTATCGGGAAGAATGAAACAATTGACATTTGCGTAATGGATTCAAACCTCTGCCCATAATAAATTTGCACTACTATTCTACCACTTTGTTTGTTTGCATGAAAGTCTATCTAAATTGTGTAATTCTTTGACCAAATGGAATTCTAATATGATTATATATATATGAATTGCCAACAAAATTAAGCAATGCAACAATGAAATACCTGACATTGATGATTTCTTTTAGAATTTACTGCGTCTCCTTCAAGATGAACAGAATTGTTCACTTCAACATTGTCCGTCCCACTTTCACCTTCTTCACTAACTGTCACCCCCTCCAAGGGTGATTCAGATGGTAAATGTTGTTGCATTTCTCCACCATTTGATTCTGAAGAAACATCAGGTAATGGCCTTAAATTAGCCTCTGTAGTTTCAGGAGTTAATGACTCTGATACAGGTGCTGTTCTCCTATGATGATGATGACGATGTGTATGTCGATGTGAGACACGTGGTGACGTGCGATTAGACAAGCGCCTACTCATTATTTCTGGAGTTAAATTAGCCTGAGAACCAGAAAATTCTTGGCCAAGATCAGCATATTCTGTATCCGATGGAAGTACATCTGTAGACCATGTATCACTGACAGTAGATCGAGTTTCATCTAAACACAAATAACGTATATATTTAATTAGAACTAGACTAATAAGTCGACCAAAAATCATCAACCATAAAAACAATAAGTACAGTAAATACCAGCTGATTAGAACATGATATATTATTAGAAATAAAATTCCACTACATAAGTAAAAGACGGGTTTCCATCCGCCCATCTGAAATTATTTTCTGATTTTAATTACACCTATGCCACCACAGTCATTAGTATAATATCATTTTCTCCTTGGGTTTTGAGTGGAAAATAGGCTTTCAGTAGCATAGCCATTTTACCGCGTTTTTTTTGCATTCTTTTTAAGCTGCCTCTACGACTACTCATTAGCTTCCATTCCCTCCACACACATGTTATCCCTACTGTTACCTTCGGACTACGACCCAACTCCTCATTTCCCATATGGATTCTATTCGAGGGGCCATTGTACTGCCAGAGTTTCTTACTGCCTATCCTTTCAGGTCGGCTAGCCATCTGATCTTCGGCACTGAGCGAACGCATCTGTTGGTGCAAGTCTGTATTAGCGAGTGGAAATGCATTTGGTGACGTGAGTACGACGTCTCCCGATGATGTCGATTGGTGCTTGTTATTGTTCTTTAGTTATCTTCATTAGTTATATCTTCTCTATGTTCACCTGAAGTCCTGTCTTTGCTGCTTCTTTTGCGGCCTAGTTGGTTTTCACCTGTAGATCTTCGAGTTTCTCTGACAGTAGACATAAATCATCCCCGAAATCGAGAAGAGTTTAATTTTCTTGTCGTGTGCAGACAAGAGGATTTACACAGGGTAATATGGATTTCATCAGATGGACAACGCAAAAATCAAACAGACTTCATCTCAATCGAAAGAAATTGGAGGTTCCCCACCCCCCACAGTTACCTCAAATGATTGAGTGATCGAGATAAATAAACACAACCACGTATTTCAGAGTGAAACTGACTGTACAGCAGAGATAAACGAGACATTCAGAGTTAGTTATCAGAATAAACAGTCATATTGGAGACAATTTTAACTTGTAGATAACACATAATTTTCGTTTATTTCTGATGTGAGAAATAATTACACATATTAATACTAGCTAGGTCAAACGATCACTTTGTATGCACTTTACACTATTTATTTACATATTCTTTTGGGTAAAATATGTTAAACTGTTTAGTCCAAACAAAATTTTACTTTAAGGTTAACCTGTATCCACCTATAGGTGTGGCTGATTGACCTAAACAGAAGACTTTTAAACCAGTGGGCCTAGGATTCAAATTTCATTCTACCTACTTAAGGCTGATCAACGGCTCTTATAGGTAGTCTATGGAAAAATTTCTCCCATTAATTGAGTTCTAACTGAGATGAGCATACAGAGATATACAAATAGGTAGAAACTGGTGTAAGCCAAAGGAGAATACATCCAATGCACCGCACTTAAAAATGTATAGAAGCATAAATAAGATATTAGATAAAACAGAATAAATATAAAATAAGAGTAAAGAAAGGTTGTTAGAATTTTCAAGAGGGTAAAAACAAACGATTATACTTCAGTCTATGGGTATTGAGAGAATTTGGATCAATGTCAATGTATATTTCATCACAAACCACAAAGAGTTAGAGAATCGGAGAAAAGTAGGATCCATTTCCCCCGTAACCACGCCAGGGATTGAACTCGGGACTTCCAGGTTATGAGGTCAGAGTCGCTCACTATTCGGTAATTTGAGCCGGAATTCAATGACCCATGAATTCTTTTTTTCCTTCACGTTCCCAGTGGAACATAGGGCCGGGGACCGAACCCCGGACCATGTGCATGGTTGGCGAGCGTCCTAACCGCTATGCCACCGACGCACCTATGAATTCTGACTTCTGTGAATTCGTGATATAGCTCAACCACTAATCAATGCTATCGACGAGCATCAAAATGGTGAATAGACATTTTCGAAATAATGACTGACTGTCAATTGTCACACTTTACCCAAGTGGTTGTTAATCCACTCATTTTTCTCATTTATCAATGATCAATATCTTATTAAATAAGAACCATTTCCAGAGTTACTTTGTAGGGAACACAGATTGATTTCAGTTGAAGAATGATTGAAAACCAGAGAGTACTGAACAGCCATTTCATCCTAATTTAGGATTTTTCATCAATAAGTACCCGCTGGGAATGGGACCCAGGCTCGCTAGTGACTGGCTACAGGACGAAGTTGCCTGGAGTCCTAGTGAAAAATTATGACCAATGGGGTCCACACGGTCACGTGTGAGAACACAAACGCGCCAATGACAGTGACTGATGGTGGTGCTAAAATCATGAGTTCGTATAAGTTACATTCCATGGGTCACTGAATCAGGTCTCAGTGGCTAGAAGGTCCACTAGCCAACCTTGTAACCGAGAAGCCTTGGGTTCGAATCCAAGAGGGTACGTAATGTAAAGAGTTCAAAACTAGGACTAAGTGGCTCTCCAGTACTCCCTGGTTTCCAATGATTCTTCAACTGATATCAATCCGTGACCGAACTTGAAATAAGCCTCCCATTTATTTAGAAAATCAAAACAAGTGATTCAGCGAAGAGACTCTTTTCAACGAATTTATCATCGAGCTGTACAGTCGTATATATATGGTCGATTTATCGATTTATGATCGATTTATCGTAGGCTGTTATGGAATGGTCAACTGACAAATTTCTATAGCTGGGTACCTATTGGTCGAAAACGAAACCTGGTCCGGTCGCTTGCCACTCGTATTCGGCGCATATGTAGCACTGATACTGTGGAAGATGAGTTATACACTTTGAGGAAAATCCTAATGGAAAATGGATTTCCACCACGTTTTATAGATAAGAATATACATTCAAAGCCTACAAAACGTGACTTATCAACCGTCCCAAAAAATACTTTACATGAGCTTAGAATTCAAAGGGGACTTAGCTTCCGATATCTGAAACGAAGGATATCACAGTCCCTGAAAAGAACATTCCCTGCTGCCTCCTGAGAATAGCTTTTACTAGCCGACCATTATTGTTCAATAACCTGAAGGACAAGATCCCAATGTTGACCAACTCTATGTGCGTTTATCAATTCACCTGCTCTTGTGGAGCTAGGTATATCGGTCGTTCGACTCGAGTTTTGTCCAAGAGGGTGCAAGAACATTATCCTGCATGCTACGAAAGGTGGAAGTGGAGCAATAAGAAGCGCGATCATAGAACATCTGGTCGAAAATGATCACCCTATCTCTATAGCCTCCGCCTTAAAGTCATCTACAAGGCAAGAGCAATTACTAAATCCCTACGTACCCGACTCATCTGTATTGCTGAAGCTTTGGCTATCGAAACAGAAAAGCCAGATCTCTGTGTACAGAAAAAGTTCGTTCAACCCCTCCAACTTCATGGTCTTAATCCCTCTATGTAAATATGGTATCCCTCATATTTTGCTCTACCAATTTTCATTTTCATTTTGTCTATTCAATTTGTATACTCTTCCTTATTAAGTCAATTGTTATTATTACTATTCTCACTTTGAACTGTCCCCGGTATTATTTCACTTGTTCCACTTGTCATTCTAAATCAATTCTTTTTACAACGATAAATTCTATGCTATTAAATTTCACACAATATTACGTAACGTTTTTGTTTTATTCGATTTGCCTACTAATCCTATAATTGCACATGCTTTTTCAAGTTCTATCCCTCCTATGAATTATTCTATATATGACATTAATTTGCTTTGCCACTTGATATTTAACTACGATTATAATCAAACATTTTAGTTTTAATTGAACTTCATATGATTATTATTATTATTATTTTGTGCATTCACACCTAAGATTCAATTCCCTCACCGGATATAACTTCTGATAAACCATATATATACGACTGTACAGCTTGATGATAAATTCGTTGAAAAGAGTCTCTTCGCTGAATCACTTGTTTTGATTTTCTAATGTTACAATGGGAATTTCCCATTTATTTATCTTTGAATCACAATGATTATTCAATTTACAGTGAAAGAGTTTACTTTTCAAAAACTTGACTTTTTCTTCATATGGTAGTGTGGCGAACATCCCATTAAATTTTCCATATTGTACATTCTTTTCTATCTCCTACGCAAAGAATCAATAGACTGATTCTTAAAAACTTAAAAGGAAAGTTTTTTTACTATTTTACTATTTATTATTATATAACCAACGTTATTTATGAATTATTCAGCATCGTAGGTACGAAAAAAACTATCGTTCCCAAGAATTCAACTGAATAAAAAAACAAATTTAAATGCTACAACTATATTCAAATATTAGCATCAATCGATTAACGTCTTTCTGGTGCCTAATTTCTTTACAGCCTAGCTAAGGTATTTTAGAATAAGACTTTCGTCCAGGTTTCAAAATTCATTCCACCTCGTAATGTCTCAGTTCATTTTGTTCAGCTCATGAAAACCTAAATACGCTTATTACGACAACTGTATACAAGGTGTAGCACAGTTGTTATTATTATTATTATTCCCTTAGGTTTTGAGAGAAACATAGTCGGCCTGCTTAAAACTTCGGCTATCAAAAGCCTCCATCTTTCTACTGCGTACAATTTATATTCTTCAGTTTGTTTTAATCTATCAGAATACAACATCTAAGGGTTTTATTTACCCTCGCGGGTATTTAAAATGTTTACAAACTTGCTGTTTTGTAAGTCTCCACTAAACTTGGGAGAAAGCATAACTGTAGTTGGCAGTGTATCTCAATACATGAGATAACTGTTCCTGAATTATGCCTTTGGGTCACTGAATGTGTTCCTGAACTTTTTATAATTGGCTTTTAACCAAATATCATGGATTCCTCGAAGGAGACAAGGAAAAATATCATAATGGAATGGTTTGTACTTCAGGTCAAACAGAACTGTGTCACACGATCTACTATCAATGAAATTGTGTATTTGAAGATTTTGGACGAAGAAAAGATATCATGCAATAAACTCCAATGGAAACTCTGTACATTATATAAAACTGTCCAGAATAAAGCGATTATTAT